TGATAGAGGAGCCAACCAGTGAAGGTTGTTGGGCCTGCCTGTCAGCTCCTTTCTCTCCTTTGCCCCACCCCAATTTCTCAGAATTGAATTTTGTTAGCTATGAGAAGGAAGAGGTGAACTGACCTTGTGGCCTTGTGAGCATTCTTCAGACAGTCCTTTTCACTAAGACTCTTGAATAGTTAGACCATACCGATGACCTTTGGAGGTCAGCAGTATCAACACTGTTGGTCACAGGAATGTCTTGGGTACAACAGCTCAGGAGGATTGGTGTGTGGATCTCTGAGACATGAGTTTGCTGATGCTTGGGGCTGGGCAGCCTGCATCTTACCTCATGGTTCTTGGTACAGGTGGGTTGCACTGATTGGACAGGCATGGACGGGAACCTCATTGGTGAAGGGACCAGTCACAGCTGATGAGTCCACAGCTCCATGGGAGTGTTTGAAGATGGATGGAAATGTGATCTTAGTATTGGTGACCAATAACCACCAAGGTCCTCCCATCAGTGAGAGCTGTGCTGAGCCTCCCAGAGACACTTGGCTTCTGTGGGAAGGTGAGGTTGCCCAGCTTTATGTCAAGGGTGGGCCCTAACCTTTTCCTGAGACAGTAGCATGTCACCATGTCACCCCAACATTCAGTGACCCCATGCTCCTCCATAGCTAAGATTTGAATGTGAAAAAGAAGGGGGACCCAGTTATCCATTGACCTGGTTTTTTGTCAGAGCATCAGCTGTTAGGTTCTGGCTCCAGGCTGGCCTCCCCTGCTGCTGCCGCTGCCGACCCCCTCCCTGAGCAGGTGTTTGGTCTTCAGGTGTGCTGTTTGGAGTGGGGGTGTGTCTGTAAACTTGTTTACTGCTCCTGCTTACCCCCCTGCATTTGAGTCTTTAATTTGTCTGACACTTTTTACCCCCTAAGAAGTCTATCTTTGAGGTTTCTCAAAATCAATATCAGACAGGCGCCTGGGCTTGTGGTTTTTCTCTTGGTGAGAACTTGGCTTAATTTTCACGCCCCATTTCAGTATCTGTGCAGACAGGAAGCTCCACCCTTTTCATGGTGTAACCGACCCTAAACTCTTTGTATTTACCAGCTATAAAGGAAACTGTTTAAATAATAAATTGTGAGTTTAAAAATCCATGTGGGAGAGATGGAAAGGCTTCCCATCTCCCTTGCAGGGGTCAGAGGAAGGGTGTGCAAGATTGATTTGTATGGGGATCCCTCTTACTCAGCTCTCGTCCGAATTAGATGTGTGTCTATTCTCTTTAAAATGTACATAATGAACTTTTAAACAAACCCCTTTTATTTATTGAATAGTTGATGTCCCATTTAAAAACTGATCTTGGGTGAGTTGCATTCTTCTCTGGGCCTCAGTTTCCTCTGTGAGGTTAGGGGTTTGACCAAGTGATTTCCAAAGTTTATTACAGTTCTGAATCCTAAGAGCTTGTGAACCTTTAAGCTTACCTACTCCTCCCCAAAAAAGCCTTCAAGGAAATGAGACAGATCCAGAGCTAGAAGGGCCCTCAGAGATCAATCCTGGTCCTTCTTTTGACAGAAGAGTAAACTGAGGCCCAGAAAGGGGAAGGAACTTGCTTAGTGTTACATAGTAGCTAAGCCAGAACTTGAACCAGCCAAGTCTTCTGGGTCTGAATCACAATAGCTGGTATTTATTTCTGCCTCTTTCAGGCTTTGCAAAGGGCTTCACAGCCATTAGCATGTTTCTAGTCTCCTTCCCGTCCACCTGCTGCTCCCATTATCATTGGCCTTTGCCAAACGTTCATACGTTTTCTGCGGCGCTTCCCCCCCCCCCCCCAAGTCTGGCTTTTTGGGACCTAGAAATGATTGTCTCTTGAACACGTCTGATTTCTCTGCAAAGATAAAATCTCGAGATCACAGCACTTGCCCGGAGCCTGCCTGACCCCATAGCACCTGGGCCAGGGCGGTGGCTTCCTCCAACTCCTAGACTAGCCTGAATGTTCCCTCCAACCAGCCGATAACCATAACTATTTTCCTTCTTGGGAGCTTCGTTGGAAACAATGTGAACAGCATTTCCGTCTTTTAACAGTATCATCCTATAAGTTCACTAAGTAAACAGCCACCAGGACAGGCATCTGTTTAGTGCTTGGCTTAAAGTCTAGACATAGTTTCTTGACTGTTGGGTTTGTTAGGAAGTTGAAACATCCCTACTTCCTGGCTACAGACTATATTGAGGCCAACATTAAACGCTTCTCTTTCTTTCTGTGGTGTCAGCTCACTCCCTCCCCCCCCCCAGTGGTAGTTTGCATACCACTCCAGAGGGCACAGGGGACCCCTCTCTTTGACTTGGCAGTCAGAGCAAGGAGGAGCAGGGCCTCTAGGGATTTAAATGAGAAGAGGAGCAATGGATCCCCTGGGGTCAAGCACTAAAATCTGAGGAAGTTGCCCAGCAGGATAAATCAAGGTGCTAAAGGTGAAACATGTAAATTCAACTCCATCCTGGCCTTCAGAACCCAGATAAACTTCTCTGGGAAGATAGAATCTCGAATAGCTTGGAATAGCCCTCTCTGCTTGTCTCTACTTGCTGTATGGGTGGCCCAAGTTTGGGCCACGTTTGGAGAAACCAAGCTCACGGATAGGCTGCTATCTGCGTCCAGACCTGGCTTAGTGTCCTTAATTCTGCGTTAGTCTTTTTTGGAGTTGCCAGTCCTCGAATTCGATGTGATCCACTGCCTTCCTGACAGCCCAGCCCTCATGCTGAAATGGGAACTAGCTAACATGGGAACAGCTAGTGTCCATGCAGAGTGGATATGGAGACTGGGGGAAATCGTTATGCCCACAGACTCCTGCCCTTCAGGGGTTCACGTCATTAACTAGAAGGCTCAGAGCAGGCTGGGGGACATGGCTTTGGTCTGAGTGTTTCATGTCCCTCTAGACTTCCCCTGCAGGGGCAGGCTTCTTGGCGAAAACACAGCTGGGCTTGAGAGAAAGGCTTCTGAAATCCCACCCCCATTTCATGTCACCCTTATCCAGTCCACCTGCATTTCTTTTCTGCAGTGTGTCTGTGAAATGGAGAAGAGGCTCCCTCTTCCCTTGGCCTCTTCAGTGGAGGGTCTTGAAGGGGTGTGGGAAATAGGAGAGATGTGGTAGGCCGGCCTGCCCCCCTCTGTGACTCCCAATGTAGATGTCCTGCAGTCACTTAAATGCACCCTCCTCTTCTCCTCATCCAGTGTGAGCTCCCAGAATGTCAACCTAGTGCTTCTTTAAAAAAAAAAAAAAAAAAAAAGGTGGAGAAGGAATGAACAAGGACCTTACCCACTTTAAAAATGCAAATAACATCCCCCTCTCCTGGACTATTTCCTCTTCTTTTCCCCCAGGAGTTTGTTTTTATATTCACCCTGTGGTGCGGACCCTGTCTAGTCTGTGTGTGTCTTCCAGCCCCGCAGCCTCACTGCCTTGGTCTGAACAGAACGTCCCTCCTGCAGCTGGGTGAGGGGCGGCTCCAGTTCTCAGGCCTGAGGCTCACCACCTGTTGTTGCCTTGTTCATTCCAGCCTCTCCTCCTCCCTTCCCGGCCCTTCCCTCCTTTCCCTCCCTAATGGTCAGCCTGGGATCATTATAGACTTTCCAAATACCTTCTGGATGCTGTCATTGCTTCTGCGCAGGCTGTAATCTCTACAAAAGAAACCATTGTTTGGTCGTGGGGGAGAATCAGAGTTTTTATTATTTTGGTGTTGGGATTGAGAGGCATTCTCCTTCGTTTATATGGAATGGATGTTGTACCCACGTTTGGAGTTGGGAAGCCCAGGCTGCATATGCCGTCCATTATAGACTGGCGTTTGGCTTTGTGGCAGGATTAGTTGATGCTTAGCCACACATATTCAAGGTGGTGGTCTTCGTGCCCTATTTTCACAGAACCCACAGTTACCTTTACAACTCACTTATAAATAAGAAGAAGGCACCCAGTTTGATGACTCCACAGGCTAGCTGGTGCTGGCTACCAGATTCCTGTCATCAACTAGAGACCAGTTTGGTGAAACCAGACCTCTCTGGGTCACTTCTCTACCTGGACACGTTGCAAGCCTGGTAGTGACTGAGATGTCTCTTCACACCCTCAGGTAGCTCAGCACTCAGAGCAAAATGACCTGTACCATCACATGAGAATCGAGGCTGTGCTTTCTCCATCTGCCTCTGTGGGAGGAGGTAGAAGTACTAAAAGGGGTGGAAGGATTAAAAATTTTTAGAGGAATCCTTTTTCCCACCTGGTCCCTCCTTTCATCTGGATGGAGGAAGAAGTAGGTTCCCCTGGCTTGTTCCAATAGTATTATTATCTCTCTGGATGGGGAGGAGAGCTTCAGGTCTGAATTCCCCAGAATAATAGAGGTATCAGCAGGGCCCAGTTTTTCTTCAAATGCCCACTGCAGACTTGCTCAGGCTATGAAGATCTTCCTTGTAAGTGACATTAAAGAAAAACCATTTCATCTGCCAAAGGACTTTCTTATGCTGAAGGGTGGGTGATGTACAGGTCTGAGCCGAGGCCCTTGTGGAAAAGGCGAAACAGGATTCTGGCACTTTCCCCCCAATCCAATGCAGCTGGGAAGCAATGAAGTCATCCTATAACAACCATCACAAAGAAAATAACAAAGTCGGCTGTGTTCTCGTTGAAACAATTTTTCCAGCTTAGAAATGGCGTTACATTTACCTTTTTCCACACCATACAGGCAGACTAGTTTTTGCAACTCGGCACAAAATGAAGCCATAACATTGGCTTCCTTTTTAGACATTTTTCTGAATCCTTCTTCTCAGCAGCTCTGTCTGTAATGGAGGGACGCAACCAGTATTGCCATATAGCTGGTTATGTTCTCCGTATTTCACTCGTGTGAGCGTCTTTGTAAGTGTCACTGAGAAATGACTATCTCCCCACAGATAGCAGCTACTTCAGGTTGGGAGGTGAAGGTTGGGGTTCTTTTTGCATGGCACGCTTGACTCACTGGACTTCTCTTCTCTAATTGTACCTATTTCCTCTTGTCTTCAGGTCCCTTCTGAACCCCCAACAACCATCAAGCCTAAAACAGATGATTCCTCTACACAATCCCCTCCTTCTGAGAAGGACAAGCAGTCCAGCTGGTTACGGCTGGCAAGCTCGTCCAATAAGGTGATTTTTAAAATCATCCCATTTGTGCTTTCTGAGTTAAAACTGGGTCCATAGTCCCACTGGAGGAGAGAATTTGGTTTTGTTTTTAAAGTAAAAAGAAAAGTGTGCTTCAGTCTGTATTCAGACACCATCAGTTTTTCTCTGGGGATGAATAGTGTTTTTCATCATAAGTCCTTCAGAGTTGTCTTGGATCATTGTATTTCTGAGAATAGCTAAGTCATTCACAGCTGATCATCTTACAATATTGCTGTTACTTTGTACACAGTACATTTCACTTTGCATCAGCTCATGTAAGTCTTTCCAGATTTTTCCAAAAGCATCCTGCTCATTATTTCTTAGAGCAAAACGGTATTCCATCATAATCATATACCACAGTTCCCCAATTGATGGGCATCCCTTCAATTCCCAGTTCTGTGTCACCAGAAAAGAGCTGCTACAAATATTTTTGTACCACTTGGTCTTTTTCCTTTTTTTTTTAATCTCTTTTGGGATCCAAAAGCGGTGGTATTGCTAGGTCAAAAGGTATGCATGGTTTCATAGCCCTTTGGGCTAGTTCTACAGAATAGTTCAATCAATTCACAACTCCGCCAACAGTGCATTAATGTCTCATTTTTCCCACATCCCCTCCCAACATTTGTCATTTTCCTTTTCTGTCCTATTAGCTGATCTAATAGGTATGAAGTAGTACCTCAAAATTGTTTTAATTTGCATTTCTCCAATCAATAGTGTGTTAAGACATTTTTTCATATGGCTGTACTTTGATTGCTTCATCTGAAAACTGTTCATATCTTTTGATCATTTATCAATTGGGGAATGATCTTTTTATAAATTTGACTCAGTTCTCTATATGTTTGGGCAGTGAGACCTTTATCAGAGAAACTTGCTTCAAAATTTTTTTCGCAGTTACTATTGGTATAGTTCCCTCCATCCTACACCCCACCCCCTTACACCCCTCCGTTTATTCTATTCTCTCTCTTGGAGGAGAGAGTTTGACTCTGCCATTGTCTTGAAAGAATTCTGCTCAGGGTACAAGAGAAGTAGTTCTTTATACTTTTAGATATGAAATTTGAGAGGGCCGCTGATGCCTGCGCATGTGTTTGCTCCAACGTCCGCATTCTTTAAAGAAAAGGCTGCTTGGGACTTGGATCCCTATTCCAAGACTCCCAATGAAATTTGGTATGGAATCAAAACCAGCAATTGTAGACAATCTCATTTGGGGCTTGCGGGCCAGATAACAAGATGTGAGGACACAGCCCCCTAGACCCTCCTTGAAATGGACACTAGGAAAATATATTTGTTAAAGGTAACTCTCTTGATTTTGCATCTTCTCATCAGTGACTTGTATTTTTAAACAGAGCATTGGCTGCATGCATCCCCGGCAGCGCTTGTCAGCTTTCCGACCTTGGTCCCCCGCTGTTTCTTCCAATGAGAAAGATCTCTCCACACACCTTCCTGCACTGATTAGAGACAGGTAAGGTTCCCCTCTGCTCCTCCCATAAGCTCAAAGTGATGGCCTAGGGACCAGCAGGTCATAAGAGGATGTTAGAGGGAGGTGCAAGGGGGGGACCTCTGGTGTTTGTGGAAATGACCCACGGCCTTGTGCTTCCGCAGGGTGGGCAATCAGACAACTCTTTCCAGTCCTTTGCTCTAAAGGAGCATGTCTTTGGACTGTGGTTTTTTTTTTATTCCCTTTCTTAATGACATTCTGAGCTTGATAATTTTTTTCCTTACTGAAGGCAGAAAAACTGGTCTTTTCAAATTTGGCGGCTTGAATCAAATTTGTTTTTCTAAATGAATAAGGTCATCAGAAAGTTTGGGCAGCTGTCCAAGAGCAGCTGATAATATGGTGGTGTGAAGAAGTTGGGTACAGTTGTTGACTTCAGCCCCACTCAGGGCAATGACTCTTAAGAGCCTGTGTACAGATACCTGTAAATCTTAGGTTTTTGTGGTATTTGTTGGGCAGACCTTTTGGAGAGATGGCTCTCCTGTTTGCATCAAACTCATTTGAATATGGGGTCTACACCTGTGGTCTCATCAGTAAGAAAATTTCCTTCACAGATGTAGATGCCACAGTCCCTCTGTAACATAATGTCTTAAGGGGGAAGGGTCACCTGGGGCACTGAGAGCTCACACAGCTGGTCTATTCTGTGTTAGAGGCCAGATTTGAACCCAGGTCTCTCTGACTCCCCAAGGCCAGACCAGTCTGCCTAGTTGTTTGAGATGTTAGTGTTACTTAATTGCTTTGTTTTCCCAAGACTACTTGTTTTAATCAAATGTTCTGTTGGCTGTGCCGGGCGGTTCTCTGCAGTAGCCCCCGGCTCATGCTTTCTCCCCCTTTCTGCAGTTTTTATTCATATAAGAGTTTCGAGAATGCTGTGGCTCCTAACGTGGCGCTAGCTCCCCCCACACAGCAGAAGATTGTGAGCAGCCCCCCCTGCACCACCATCGTGTCCCGGGCCCCCGAGCCCCTCACCATGTCCATACAGCCCCGGAAAAGAAAGCTGCCCATGGAGAACCCTGGCGTGCCAGAGACCGTGGCCCCTGCCACTGCCCCCGAGGAGGAGAAGGATTCCGAGGCAGACGTGGAAGTCGAGAGCAGAGAGGAATGTAAGTGTGAGTTCACTTTTCTCTTCTCCTCCTAAAAAAAGTGGTGTGCTATTCAAGAAGAGACTCCCATCTTTGAAAGGAATGTGAATGTGTGTGCCTGAGTGTGAGCGAGTGCGAATGACTGTAAGTGTGTGCTAATGTGTGTGAATGCGACTGTGAGTGTGGATATTG